GGCCCAAACGACACTTCGTTTGGGCCTGGCGGCGCTCTTGAAGCTGCCGCCCGCCGATTGAGGCTGAACCGTCCATCTGGACGGTCCAGGGTCTGGCCTGGCCTCGGGGAATTGAGGCCAGACCATTGCCCACGGGTATAAGTACCGGTATCCGCCTCAGTAAGGGGATCGGCCTACCGGAACTCTACCGGCACGGCATGGTCAGTGCTAGTGCACTGTTTTGATGCGCTAAACTTAGCGCAGGGGCTGAAGCAGGAGCGCCGCATGCGCAGCAGCGAGCGGAGCAGCAGCGGGCGACTGAGCTTGCACGGCGGTTATCACCGCCTGAGGTATCGGGAGCTTGGAGGGTCTCTCCTCTCCCTCGCCAGTCCCCTCTCTCTCTCTCTCCTCTTCCTCCTTCTTCTTCTTCTTCTTCTTCTTCTTTTTGTTCTTCTTCTTCTTCTTCTTCTTCTTCTTCTTATTCTTCAGATTGGAGACTATCCAGTTGGACAGAGATCAGAGTTGGATTTCGGTGATACGAGACTGTGGTACTTACCTGATTGGAGACTATCCAGTTGGACAGAGATCAGAGTTGGATTTCGGTGATACGAGACTGTGGTACTTACCTGATTGGAGACTTGGAGATTGTTGAGGTTGATACTCGGCTGCATCACAGTTGGACACCGGTTACATCTGGGCTCTGTTATCTCCGACATTGGTGACCATTGGTCCTCGACATTTTGATCTTGTTATATGACATTCTGGACTACCATTTCGGAGACCTACCAGACTCTATCTTTGTGACCTATCGGTGTGATCTACCTCCTACCTCCTTCGTCTCTCCTCCCACCTTTCATCTGTGTATGTGTGTACGGGATCTGGGTATCGTCTATGAATGACCCAGACCCCACCATCTCATGATTGTATGTGTGTGGAGTGATGCCATGTAGGTCAGTCTATGTGCGTCAGTCTATGTGAGGCAGTTCGTTTATCAGACTTCCGCTGCATAAATGCTCATCCTATATTGGTTGATCTTTGGTTCTGCCCATACTCATTGAAGTATGCAACAAGGAGGGAAGGTGGGGGATCCATGCTCTGATCCAGACCCAATCCAGACCGTCCGGTGCCCGCTGCCTGGATGGGTCTGCTGCCCAGGTCTGCAGTGGCCCTGCCGAGAAGACGGGGCAGGTTTTGTGTGTAAGGTTTGATATAGAATCGAAACTACATTATTTTTAACTTGTCAAAGAAAAATGAAAATGATTTGATAGAATCGAAACTACATTGCCGACATTATACATACATACATTTATATATATATATAATAAATCTACATTAACCACATGTATTCCTTTTGAGAGATCAGTAGTTTATTACCATGTCCCAGAGCTGTGCAGAAATTGCGTTGATGTCAGCAGCAAACCAGCCTTCAAACCTGCAGATATACCACTGGAGAACAGCCATAGCCAGACCTTCAGACCTGCAGTCACATGCAGACAGAAGGCACATATCAAGATTTTAAAATATTCGCAAAAGGGCACAGGCCAAAAAAAAAAAAAAAAAAAAAAAAAAAGAGGAGGAAGAACTCACCTCATGGTTGAGCCAGAACCACGACCGACGAGCCTGGGACGAGCACTCAGCAAGCCTACCCTCTTCATCCGAATAGAACACGTGGTCTTTTCTCTTTTAAATATTTGATTCTGTTCATCTGCTAGCATCTGGATTCGAACTTGGGTCCGTATTTCAACAGCTCATGGGTGTACCAACTTCGCTAGGCCCATTGGTAACCCCCGGTCACTATAGCCGTATTTGGTGGAACTTTTAGTCTAGATACAGCGATCACGACCGGGTGCTCTACTGGGGGGTGAAGACGGTAGGTCCAGAAGTGATCCTTTTCTCATGGAATATCCAGTAGTATTGCATGGGTCCATTTTCTTTTGTATTAAATTACTATTAATATTATTTAATTTAATAATGCTTGAAACCTGGTCCAGTGTTCCTTATGTCAGATGTACTCACTCAAACGCTTCAAAATCTCCCTGTCCTGGTCGACATATCCAAGACAGTGGCATTGATTGTTGGGCCTCTAACCTTAACTTCTTGGGTGTGCGGTATGATGGGGGTTTGTTACGCGAATGTACAGCTCTTTGCTGTGATTACTATGGTTTCCATGTACTCTGATGTGTGTGCATCTGATATATGTAGTGTGAACTTGCGTCTATCTGGGAAAGTCCCTGGCCCAACCGGGTCTGCCTGGCCTTTGTCCCCTGTTTACCATACAAATCCTAACCCACGCAACCAAGCCGGGAAAGGTAATGGAAGGAGATGGAGGAAAGGGAAGAGGGAACGGAAGAGGAAAGTCAGGGGCATGAACGAACGATCGGCATTGAATTCGTCAACCTCGAGAATCCTGGACCTTTGTGAAGAAGGTGGTGAACAGACAGTTAGGGTGCTTGATCTACTGAGGAATCTCGGCCGAGTGAAGGCGAAGCAAGATGTATGGATTAGCTGTAACGGAGGTACAGCGCGGGCTGATGGATGGCGAGTCGTAAGATGTCTGTTCGGCGAATCACGTGTAATTGTAGGTAAACGTACTAGACCCCTTCGTAAATGTAAGTCGTTGTTTGAGACTGGAGGATGGGTAACGGTGCGAAATGTTATCGAGGCATCGCCCGGAACGATCCGTCTGAAACAAGAGCTTATCAGAATGTTCGAGGACAAGAGGAAGAAGAAGACTCTGTTGAGCAAATCCATGAGAGAGCTGGTTAGATACTATGGGGTGGCAAAGCTGTTTTCGAAGAAACGTAACCGAACGAAAGTCAGGAGAATGGTATCCGATGTCTTCAAAAAAAAATTCAGATGAATGTGCGCAGGAGGGTCGTAGTGAAGGTCAGATACGATGAGAGAATTAAGAAGAGTGAGGTTGTAAGAGTAGTAAGGAGTGGTATCGAAAGACTGCATCTTGATCGACCTGTTCAGGAAATGGTTCGAAGACGATCCCGTGTCATATGGACAAGAGGTCCTAACGTCGGGGATTTGATCCATAATCACCGCCACTTTGCGGCGAATGGAGTCTCTGTGTGCAACTGCACCAGCATGTCCTTTCCCAAGTTGGGGGGATACGTCCATTTCCGGATTGGCGACTGGGATGGCTGTCCGAGTATAGCACGTAATGCTAAAAATGTACCAAGTGACTACGGGACAGAACTGTGTGACCGACTGTCGAAGGAGGTTACGGAAGGGTTTTCTGATCTAAGTTGGATGGGTAAGAGAGTGGGAAAGGTGGAATTCACGAGCCGGGAAGTCAAGAAATGTATTGAGACGAAGGGTAAAGCAAAGAACAGCGATCTGACGGAGATTAGCAGACTGAAGAAGGAATTACAGGGCTTGGTTTGCGCGCCCCTCGACAGGAACCCCGGTGATACCCTCGTGATGTGTCCAGTGACGTACGGGGAAGAGATGACGACTACTTTCATCAGCAACGAAGGTTACTCTGTCCGAAAGGAGAAGGAGGAGGATATTTTGAAAGATGAACTGTGTATGTATGTAAAGAAGGGTTTTGAGCAGGTGGGAAAGTGGAAGAAAGACGGGAGGATGGGTAAAGCCTACACGTTGCCCAAGCACAAGGACACGTCAAAATATAGACCGATATGTCCTACGTACAGCGAGCCAAGTAACAATGCGTGTAAGAAGGTCTCACGTGCCTTGAATATGATGCTGTTCTCCTTGCCAGACAGCAAGCATCTCAACTTGAGGTCCATCTGTGGATTGCGGGATAGATTGAAGGGAATCAATTGTAGGATGCGGAACGATGGATGTGGCACGCAGCTGCTTGCTCGATCATATGATATAAAAGATATGTTCAGCAAGCTGCCGCATGCGACGATCAATCGTGCTGTCGATTGGTGCATATGGTGGTTTGAATCAAAGGGATATCGAGGCGTGTTTGTGAAGGGACACGGTAAAGGTAGTATGTTGAGTAGGTTGGATTGTATTGATGGCTGCCAGTTTATTGGTTTTGATGCTATTCGGGAATTTGTCCATTTTGAACTCGAATTTTGTTTTATTTGTCCATTTTGAACTCGAATTTTGTTTCACGATTGCAAGCAACACCATTTTGCAGCAGACGGTGGGGATCCCCATGGGAAAGTCAACAAGCCCACCACTGGCTTGTTTGATGTGTGCCAAGGCAGAATGGGATCTGCTGATTTCATTAGGTACCGAAAGAAGGTTTCTCGCAGGATTGAGGTATGTGGATGACACGTCAGTTTTCTTTGCATTTGATCCGCAACGTTCTGAAACAAGAAAACGTGCGGAGAGGATCCTGGATCGATTCGAAAGATGCTATGACAAGGCACTGACACTCAAGCGGACTGATGATGACCAAAAGGCTTGGGATTTCTTGGGTTGTTGTCTGAGTGTGCGAAAGGAATTTCCATTCCTAGGATGTTGCCAAGGGATGAAGAACGACAAGGCCTTGAGTGAGGGCCAAGCTCTGGTGTTTCGGGAATTTCAGGATTACGAATCATGGACCAGCAAGAAAGACAAATTGGCAGTTATTACGAGCGCATTACATCGAATTCATCAGAATTCGATGGTCGGGTTGGAGCTGATTGAGACCCTACTTCTGCTGAAGATGAGCTTCGCAGGAGGACATACCCAGACCATTTTTTCTGTAGAGCATTACGGAACTTTGTTAGGGACAAGAGTGATCTTTGGAAATTGGCAGCGCAGTTGTTGATGGATTGAGTGCTTGTGATAGGAATAGGTGAAGTTGATTTGACTGTGGACTTAGGATCTGATTCGTTTGTTTTGTTTTGTTTTGTTTCGTCGAACCAGGGACCTTCCCGGACAGACGAAGGCCTGGTCGCATGTGTTGGTTTGGCGGACCAGGGACTTTCCCAGATAAACGTAGGCTCGGTTGCGTGGGTTAGGATTTGTACGGTAAACAGGGGACAAAGGCCAGGCAGACCCGGTTGGACCTCTAACCTTGGTATGAGGCGGGAACAGGTCGGCCAAACCAGAGTATCCCGGTTGCTGTAGGTTTTTCATGGGCTGTCATCATAAATACTGGCACAGTGTCGGTACGACTCCCTTTTGATGCCTTCGGGCGTCAAAGTGAGTCAACAATGCGTGACTCATCGGTCAGAGGAGTGTTTGGCGGTTTCTTGGGTGTGCGGTATGACGGGGGTTTGTTACGTGAATGTACAGCTCTTTGCTGTGATTACTATGATTTCCATGTACTCTGATGTGTGTGCATCTCTGATGTGTGTGCATCTTTGCTGCTGATTGATTGTTACCCGATTTGGAAGGTTTTACCACTGCTCCACCCCTGTTTTTTTTTGTTTTTTGTTTTTCCCTTTACCTTTTTCTTTGTGGGCATTCATGAAAATTGCCATTTCTCGATTTATGCATGTCATCTATGTGAAGGGGCCACCCCTGGAAAAGGGAAGGGGGCAGGGGAAGGGGCAGGGGAAAGGGAAGGGGAAAGGGAAGGGGAAGGGGAAGGGACAGGGGCTTGGGAAAGGACAGGGGCAGCGCCAGGGGCAGGGGACGGAGAAGGGGAACAGCAACGAAAGGGGAAAGGGAGGCGGGAGGGGAAGGAGTGGGGAAGGGGAGGGAAAGGGAAGCAAATGGGAAGGGGAAGGGGAAGGGAAAGGGAGGGGAAAGAGGAGGAGAGAGGGAGAGGGGCAGAGGGGGAGAGGAGGGGAAAGGAGGGGAAGGGGAAGCAAAGGGCAGGGTAAAGGTAACCGAGGGAGAGCAAAGGGGGAAGGGAGGGTGAACTGAAGGGGAAGGGGGAAGAGAGGGGGTGGTATTTTCCAGCGAGCTTCTGAGTGACTAAGTGCAGTGCCTTTAAGATGTGCCAAATAGTCAGTGAGTTGCCTCAAACACTAGTAGCAGGCTTGCTGGGTTGGGATTGCCTGTGTATGCATGTTCCCTGGATGATCACAGACATTTGCCAATAATTGACTCCCTGCAAGAAAGGGGGAAAGAGAGGGGGAAAGAGAGGGGGAAAGCGGGGCAAAGCGAGGGGCAAAGCGAGGGGAAAAGTGAGGGGCAAAGTGAGGGAAAGAGAGGGGGAAAGAGAGGGGGAAAGAGGGGGAAAGCGCGGGAGAAAGAGAGGGGGAAAGAGAGGGGGAAAGAGGGGGGGAAAGAGGGGGAAAGCGCGGGAGAAAGAAAGGAGAAAGAGAGGGGGAAGGGGAAGCGAAGGAGCAGCGACAAGGAGGGGGAGGGAAGGGAAAACAAGTATGCCTTGCCTTAGCTCAGGTCGTCGCTCAAACACCAGTGCCATTGCCTCCGCCACAGATTTGTCTTCTTCAAACTCATTACGGACTATTTTCGTCTGTGCGCATGGCATGGAGATAAGAGGGAATGCAGGTCTTGTGTCAAAACAACCACGCCTGTCTCAGCACATTGAAACTGTGGACCAAATTTCTTAAGCGTGCTTCTTTTGAACGTACTGTGATATTTAAACGCGAAGGTCGATGCACAAGATTGCTCCAGTACATCCAACTATCGGCCAGGGGCCCTTTTTTTCGGAGGCCACCCGCAGCCGATTCGATTTATCTACGGCGTAGGCGACGAGTTTTCTTTTCAGCAAGGCCGGGGCCGTGTACTGCTGCAGAAAATTCGTAGGCGACGAGTTTTCTTTTCAGCAAGGCTGGGGCCGTGCGCTGGAGGTTTAAGTGAACTGGCACCGACATAAAAGGACAATCGAGATGAGCAGCCCAGCAAAATACAGACCAAAATTTCTGAAACAAGTACTTCTGTTCAGGTTTTATCGTGAAAATTTAACTGTGCTTCCCCTTGGCCGTACTGCTAGACAGAACAGCGCAGCGCCCGTGGCCTCTGTGTCCTCGAGACCACCGAATTAAGACCGGTGTAATGCTGCCTAGGACAAGTACGGGCCCACAGAGCTAAGACCGGGGTAATGCAGCCTAGGCCTAGTTCCTTTCGGCCGATTCTGAAAACTTCTGGTAGGCAGAACCTACAAGTGCCAGTACTACCGGTCACAGTATATAAGTCAAGGCGGCAGTCATCGGGGACATTCAGCTGGCAGGTTGCCAGCAGGTTGCTACAGCACTACCATCTTGGAATAGCCAGCACTGTAGACAGATTGACTAGGCAAGTGACATTAAGTCCAGACTGATAGTGAAGGAGTCAACGAGAGAAGCTGTTGGGTGCGGAGGTGGTGAGGAGGGGATTGCAATGAAGTAGAGGGAGAAGCAGTCTGAACATTATATTCATTGTTTATAATCTTAAGATAATTCCATGCTTTTGAGAGAGAGAGAGAGAGAGAGAGAGAGAGAGAGAGAGAGAGAGAGAGAGAGAGAGAGANAGAGAGAGAGTTCATTGTTTATAATCTTAAGATAATTCCATGCTTTTGAGAGAGAGAGAGAGAGAGAGAGAGAGAGAGAGAGAGAGAGAGAGAGAACATGTACGCAGCCATAGCTGGGTGTAGTAGGGGAGAGGGCACCACAGTACCGGGCTTTGCTAGCCATGCAAGTAGCCATAATTTGCGACAGTTCGAGTCATCAACTGCCCCATTGTTTGTGAGCACCGATGGATTATCAGTTCTGCTCACACCGCTTTGCAGTTTTATCTCAACACTAACAGCCGCCATAACCGCGACAGCCATCCCAGCCACCACCACCATCAGCAGTTTTCCATAAGGACGGAAAGGAAAACAACAGCAACCATGACAAGCAGAAACAATGTGTGCGAACCACACTTGCTGAAATGAGTTGAAGCCTTCGGACCGCCAATGGCTGCCCCTACCGCCACCACTGTCCGCCACCCCTACCAGTACCGTTGTCCCCCGAACATAAAGCAAATGCAGTGTATTTGAGTTTTCGAAAAGAATCGGTTTTCCAAACCGCCACCACTGTCCGCCACCCCTACCACTACCGTCGTCCCCCGAACGTAAAGCACCCTGTCAAAATAGACAAAAATTCTATTCATTTAACCATCAGAATGAATTTGTTATGCTTATTCCCAGAAATACAAAATCATTTCGAAATTTCAAATTTTTGAACACCTTTGTGGGTTTCATGTGACTCTTGTCACTTCAGCTAAAACCCAAAATGAAACTGCACCGTATTCGAGTTTTCGAAAAGAATTGGTTTTCCCAAAAGTGAGTCCACTTTTCTCAAATAGAAGGGCATTTCGAATAGAAGGCACATGGTTGTATTCGAATAAAACAAGCATATGCGTTCTATTCAAATTGCAAAAAAAAAAAAGAGTCGTATTCCAATTTCCAATAGAACATTTCTTTTTTTCCTTTTTTGTTTTTGAGGTTAGTGGCTGCTCTGTTTTTGCCCTGGCTAGAGGGACAGGCCCCTGCAACACATAGCAAGCTGAACATGTCTTTTTTTTTTTTCCTTTTTTTTTTTTGATGATGAGAAAACTACGAATCCTTTTTTACGTGGCAACCCCTAAGAATAGATGCATTGTGTTTTGGCCTTGGGATAGCGGCCGCGGCCAAGAAAGTGGCAGTGTGAAGCCAGGAGGGGATTTATGTGCCTCATCCGCCACTCACCAAGGGTCTCGCTCATACTTGCAAGCAGACGGACCAGACGAGCATCCGGTCCGGTCCGCTTTGCTGCGTGCGGCACCCTCCCCCCGGACCAGACGGACCCGGACCGGACCGAACAGGGCCATTTTTTTATTTATTTTTTTGGGGTGGGGCGTAACTGGTCGTCGGGCGCACATTCGTGCGCCACGCGGGTCCGGTCCGGCGGTCTGCTGCACGTCCGGAACCGCCCGGACGGCGTCCGCTTGCAAGTATGGTCTCGCTCCACTACTCACCACAAGCACAAAAGACAAAAATACAGCGTTGTATCTTTCCATGTTCTAGCGGAAGATTCATTCTCGTCTTGCGCATTTGGTGAGGAGTGGAACAAGGCCCCAAGTGGGGACAAGGAGAATGAATCTTCGGCTAGATCATGGAAAGATACACCACCTTTTCTGGGTGTGATGGTCAGTGGACTGAGGCCCTCCGCCACTGGCAAGAACTGAGCCCACTCAAACTGGACCCGGCCCCCTTGTGTCGTTAACTTGTTCTACCGAACTCGAATATAAGGCATGCGCCAATAACGCAACCTGTGCGTTATATTCGTTTACAAGGCATATGCCTTATGTTTGGGGGAAGACGGTAGTGCGACCCCCCCTCCTCCCCCACTTTGCACCACCACGCCCACAAGCAGTGCCACCATCCACAGCTGCACAGCCATCACTGCCATGGCCAAAAGGCCCACAACTATGATACCAACAACCAACTCTACAGCCACAACGTATCACTGCGACTAGAATCATCTGGGACCACCACCACAACTGCCACTTCCAACACAAAGATCACCACACCGCGACCACCGTTTTTGCACGAACAGAACGTGCGGTCAAGCGCTGTATCTCAACCGAACATTGCACCAAATACAGCTCACATAATGACTGTACGTTCTATTTGGGCGACCATAGCAACAACCACAATAACCACAGCCACCACCTCGATGCAACGACGACCCCCAGCATAACGATGGCCTCCAGCCTCGCTGGCCTCCTGACAAGAGGCTCCCTGCTTCATTTGCGGGCATTTTGCCACACCAAGCGGCAGGCCTTCACCAGATCCCTAGCACCCAAACAAACAAACAAAGATATCATATATAACAAACAAACAAAAAGATTCCTACCACCAATTGGCGTTCCAAGCCTGGGCAGTCATGCAAACAATGTGCATTACAGAGGTATAGCTCTGTGTGTGTGTGTGTGTGTGTGTGTGTGTGTGTGTGTGTGTGTGTGTGTGTGTGTGTGTGTGTGTGTG